CCCTTCTACCCCGCGCCCTCCCCCGCCGCCATTGCTCGCAGGTGCCTCGCGCGCATATTTTGCCCCCCGACTCCCATTGCCAGCGGGTGCCTGGCGCGCATACCTTGCCGCGGGAATCCCGTCAGGTCGCCCTTCCGGCGCGGATCTGTCACTTGCGCCCGCCAGTCTTTGCACGCGCCCCACTCGCTCAGATTTGAATGATGCGTTTCCTGGCAACAGGAGAATGCTCCCTTAGCCTTTGGCCGAGTTGGCAGCAGACAAGAGGACGCTCAGAGCCCAGCTCTCGAGAGTTCAAGCATCTGAAAATACCCCACTGCTCCCAGGAGCGTTAACTTGGGCACTCTGTGCCCCTTATCCCTGTCCGGGTCCCGTCCCAGGGCCGAGGACCGGCCAGTAGGACTCAGTTGCCTTGAGCCTGCTGCCCGCATCCCTCAGTTCACTTTGCTTGTGGGATCTCTCCGTTGCTCCTGCCCCTGGACGGAGTGGCAAGCCATCCTACTAGTACCCAGACGCTTGGAATCAGCCTGGTGTCGAAACAACTCCAAGGTTTTCTGTATCCTACAAGCCCTGTGTTCCGTCCGCGATCCTGCCTTCAATTTGAGGCACAGGTACCGCAGCAAGCCGGTGCTGTGTGCTCGCAATAGCAGAATGTCCTGCAGCTCAGCGGGTGCACTGATCACAAGGACTCTCCGTGAGGCCCTGGAGCAGGTAATCACCATTTTGGGGCCCACAACACCCAGCTGTGCCCCACACTCCTATCCAGAGAAGATCATGTCCAAGGCCCTCAAGGAGAATGGGGCAGGGATGCCTGAGCAGGGCAAGGACCCCAGAGTCCAGGAGAATCCTGATGATCAGAAAGGGGACCCCGAGGACACCAGGGATGCACGGTCTGCATTTAGGCCCCTGCGGGACAATGGAGGCCTCTCTCCCTTCGTGCCCAGGCCCGGGTCCCTGCAGAGAGACCTCCATACCCAGAGGTCAGAAATCCCACCTGACAAGAAATCCCAGCCCTCCGGGATGAGCTGCTGCCCCAAACGAAATGCCATCGCCAGCTCCTACAGCTCCACGGGGGGCTTCCCGTGGCTAAAGAGGAGGAAGGGGCCAGCCTCATCCCACTGCCAGCTGCCCCTCACTTCTTCAAAGACAGTGAGTGAGGTCAGCCCTCAGGCTGTCTCTCGGGGTCAGGCCCAGTGTGAAAAGGCAGCAGATTCAGCCCCTGAGGAGAAACCGGCCCCCAGGAGTGGCTCCCCGACATCTCAGGCCTCTAGGCCTCGTAGACGAAAGTTCCCTCTACTGCCACGCAGGCGAGGGGAGCCTGTGATGCTGCCACCTCCCTTACAGCTGGGGTTCCGGGTCACCGCTGAAGACCTGGACCTGGAGAAAAAGGCCGCACTCCTGTGCATTAATAGTGCACTGCGGGGTGAGGCCAAGGCCATCTGGGACTGCAGAGCCTCACTGCCTTCCCATGCTTTGTCCTCACCGGCAACAGGGACGTCTTCTCTGCCTGCTGTCCCTAAAGCACCCAGCACGGATGCACAGCAGGAGAGACGAAAGTCCCAAGACCGCCCAGACCCCGTGGCCCTCCTAGCATCTGCTGCAGGGTCCCCCTCTAGACCTCCTGTGTCTGGGAGGAAGCACAGGTCAGCAAGTCCCCTGTTCTCCTCCTCAGACCCCCTTCCTGCCACCTCTGCACAATCCCGGGACTCAGCCCAGGCCACCTCGCTGACTCCTGCTCCCTTCCCAGCTGCAAGCATGGACCGCAGCATGAGAAGCCCAAGGCCGGGCACCTCTGCTGCTGCAGCTGCCACAGCGGCCCTTGCTCCCTCTATATGGAATCCCACGTGGGGGTCCCCACTGAATGGGGTGCAAAGCGGCCCTTCCCATCCCCAGGCATCGGCCACAGCAGCACCAGGTGCCCAGGACCTGCCTGCTCCCAGCCTGCAGGTTGCTGCATCTGGAGCCAGTGCCAGCCCTACAGCCAGCACATCTGCTAACCTGGCACCCCAGGCGGCACGTGACTCTAAGGTTACCCGCTTAGACACCAGTCTCCGTTCCCAGCCTCTCCTTCCGGGGCCTCCCGCTGGCTGCAGTGTAAGCCTCCTCCAATCTACCCAGGCCCACTTGATGCCCCGTAATCACAGCACAGCCACAGGAAAGGAAACCACCACCCTGGCCAGACAGAGGGTCAGTGGTCCCACGTCAGTACTGAAACTTCCCGTTACCGCTGCAGCCACCACCCAGCCCAAACCTGTGGTCCTTCATGGACAGCAGCAGGGAACCCGCACCTTGACGCGGGCTCATCCATCTTCAGATCTAGCTGCTTCCGCTGCAGCCCAGGCCTCATCTTCTGCTCCAAGACACCCAGCCCAGGGCACCACAGCACACTCAGCCACAAGGGTTTCCATACCCACCGTTTCCACCTCGAGCACCTCCACCAGAAGAAAGTCGGCCCGGGCTTCAGACCCGACTGGGACCCTTCCTGACCCATCTTCTGCCTCTCCCACCACCACCCTGGCCAGCCAGAGGGTCCGTGGTCCCACCTCAGTACTGAAACTTCCTGTTACCGCTGCAGCCACCACCCAGCCCAAACCTGTGGTCCTTCATGGACAGCAGCAGGGAACCCGCACCTTGACGCGGGCTCATCCATCTTCAGTTCCAGCTGCTTCCGCTGCAGCCCAGGCCTCATCTTCTGCTCCAAGACACCCAGCCCAGGGCACCACAGCACACTCAGCCGCAGGGGTTTCCTTACCCACCGCTTCCACCTTGAGCCCCCACACCAGAAGAAAGGCTGCCCGGGCTGCAGGCCGGGCTGGGACCCTTCCTGACCCATCTTCTGCCTCTCCCCGTGAGGCACATGCTGCCTCCTCATGCTGTGCATCTGCCAAAGCTATGCGGCTCCGCTGAACACCTGGAAGCAGGACCCCGGCCCCCTCGAGATTGGTGGTTTCTGTAACACAAACGAGCTTGGCGGCAGCCCCGGCTCCCAATTCCAGAAATGGATTCCTCAGCAGCAAAGTGGCAAAGAGAAAGGCCCCAAGCACCACAAGGCAATGCAGCTTCAGGGGGTCTGAACATGAAGCCCCCCTGAAGTGGCAGAGCACCCCGATGGTGACTGGGGGCCCAGCACAAGAAGCAATTCTGTTGGGTGGCACTTTTGTCTTTACTTTCCATCATATCCCTGGGGGGCCCCTTAAAAGAGACACCCTGAATTGCAAGCGGGGACCCCAGTGCCACTGCAAA